ACAAGTCAAAACCTCTGGCTTGCATCCACGCTCCTACAACCTTGAACCATGTTCCTGACTCTGGACTCTGACCTTGGACTACATTCTGTGAGTTGGTTTGGTAATTGGATATCGGCTTTGCATTCTTGGTATTCCTGACCTTGGACTGGTTTATCGGACTTTGGCTGTTGTAACCCCCGGGAACATGACACATAATCTCACCGGGGGAGGTGACTACGGGAAGCTACCCCTAAAGTACTTCATGCCCCTCAGAAGGAGGGTTACCCTAAATAAGGGACGACTTGGCAGTGGTGCTCCACAATGACAACGGCTTCAGGAAACTACAGAAGTCTTTGCTTTTCCTTCAATAAAAGGCAAACACAGTGGGAAGTGGACCCGAGTTGTGTCTACCCTCCCTCGCAGGGTTGCTTGGGGGAATAATCTTGATGGCCAAGCCAGGAAGGAGTTTTAGGGTCCCCGGAGGGAGAAACCTGTGACATCCTTCACGCACAGGCCCATGGAAATACAGCCTCAAAAACATGCTTAGGGGCTGATAACTGTCCGGTGAAACACTAAAACAGGGGCGTGACCCACAGAGCATCCCCTTCACACCACTGTCCAGAGGAGGCTCCAACGGTCAATTGGCCAACTGACCGTTGAGCCCAGAGGTGGACATTCCACCAAGACCCCCCCCCCTTTGGAACGCCAACTCTTCTTAGACTGCCACCGACCCTGGAGGTTTGTGTGGACCTTCTCACAGAGAACTTGATTGCCTCATGTCTTGCGGAGAGAGATCGGCCGATAGGTCTCCCTGGACGAGGACATGGGGACCTGATCCAGCTGGCACAGGCTGGGGATGAAGGAAGGAGAGAGAGGAAGAGACTGAAGGATGCCTTTGGAGTAAATACCAGTAATATGTAAAAGATGTAGTTAACTATGGTACCTTTTAGACTGTAGTCTCTAGAAACTGCAAATTATATGCCTGCATAGCTCTTCAGGCATGCTAAATTTAGTTAAGTTAAATAATTTTAGTACCGTTTTTGTACTAAAATCTAAATGTCTCTCAATTTAAATAATATAAGTGTTATATTCTTGTGCTGTCATGTTAACAACAGATTTGGAATTATAGAAACAAAAGGAACTTGCAAGTAAATATTGAGTTTGAATGTCACATTGAAATCTCTTTAGATGTGTATTTATTTTCCATCCTCTCCAGTTTAATTTTTGTCTGTTGGAAAAATGTTGTTGTTGTTTAGTTGTTTAGTCGTGTCCTATTCTTCGTGACCCCATGGACCAGAGCACGCCAGGCCCTCCTGTCTTCCACTGCCTCCCGGAGTTGGGTCAAATTTATGTTGGTCGCTTCGATGACACTGTACAACCATCTCATCCTCTGTCGTCCCCTTCTCCTCCTGCATTCACACTTTCCTAACATCAAGGTCTTTTCCAAGGAGTCTTCTCTTCTCATGAGATGACCAAAGTATTGGAGCCTCAGCTTCAGGATCTGTTCTTCCAGTGAGCACTGAGGGTTGATTTCCTTTAGAATTGATAGGTTTGTTCTCCTTGCAGTCCAGGGGACTCTCAAGAGCCTCCTCTAGCACCACAATTCAAAAGCATCAATTCTTTGGTGGTCAGCTTTCTTTATGATCCAGCTCTCACTTCCGTACATCACTACAAGAAAAACCATAGCTTTGACTACTTGGATTTTTGTTGGCAAGGTGATTCTCTGCTTTTTAAGATGCTGTTGAGGTTTGTCATTACTGGAAAAAAGTTAAAGATCCCTAATAATCATTGTGAACCATTAATAATAAGCTCCTTGCCTACCATGAGTTTCATAAAAATTGTCTGTGTTGTAATAAAAGATCATCACAGTTCCATTGTGCTTTTTTAGATATCAATGAGTGTGAAGTCTCTGACATCTGTGGCCTTGGAGGGCGATGTCTGAATACTGCTGGCAGCTATGAGTGTTACTGTATGGAAGGATACCAAATAGAAAATGGCTCTGAGCCATTTCATTCGCTCACAACAAACATTTCATGCAAAGGTAAGAGTTTGCTCTTTAATAACTTTACAAGCAAAACAAAACAAAACAAAACAAAAACAAAAAAATCTATCTTTAGCTTTCTTTATATACAGAGATATTAATGTGTATATTAACATGTAATTTTAATGTCATTTAAAATATATGTGTAATATAAAAACAGTTGATTGTACATTATTAAATGTGTACATTGTCCTATTTATTTCAAGGTGGATTACCAAAATAATAACACACAGGCAAAGCAACAATATAGTAAGGGACCAGACTATAATAAAAACCATCAAGGACTGAAATCCTGTTGATGCAGCCACTCAGTGTATGGCTGATGACATTGGCTGTGGCAATTATTTGGAAATAAAAAAATTAAAGTTTCCCTACTGAAGTTTCCAAGGCTCTCTTGGGATCCCTTTTATCATGGGGACGCTGTTGATAGGGAGAGGTTTTTAATTGTAACAAGTAGACCATTCTATATGGGCGGTATATAAATCGAATAAATAAATAAATAAATAATTTTTCAAAAATGAGTGGGATGATTTTACTGGCATTTTTTAATTTTTCTGATTTTCAGAAATTAAATATTTTCCTCCCATCCCGCGGTTCCCAACAACTTCTCCATCATAAATGAGATTCCATGGTAGCATCAGGAACTTTGGACAAGAATCAGAAATTTTGTATTTCCAAAAAATCATCATGGCTGGTGATATTATCACCCTTATATGATGTAGCTGTAATCACAGAGTTTCAGCCAATAAAGAGTATAAAAATAAACATACATTATGTACTGTTAACAACGAAGAGGAAAAAGGAAAGTCTCTCATACAGATAAAATTTAGAAAGATGTAGCCAAGTTGAGTCCCACAAAATGGCATTTTTCTTTCTTATTTCTGCTTCCTGAAGATTTTGAAGATATTTTTCGTTATATACATTGAAGTTTGTTATGTGAATTCCTGGAACATTAAAAAAAAAGGAAGAACAGCAAGGATTAAAACAATACATTTTATTACTTTTTTTAGAGAAAATGTCTAGTGTTTTACATGGGAAAATATAGAATTTATTAAAATGTAAAAAAAAGTTGGTAATCAGAACACTGATCCTGCAGATTCTGGAGGCGTACTAATTTATCATGCATGATTGGCATAAGCTTCTAATAACACATTTTAAATCAGATAGGACTTCTTCAGCACTCAGCTCTGGTAGTCTTCATCTTCATCCCGTTATCATTGTCAATGTCACAAATATTATACTAGCCATTTGGTTACATAGCGGGATCAGCATATTGGACTCGATAGGTTTTTGGTCTGACCGAGGACCAAATGTATCCTCTTTGGAAATGATCTGATTACAGAGGTTACCAAGAAAAAAAAAACTTTAAAAAAATGTACTAAGAAGAGATTTCACTGATAAATGTCACTTGTTGATATTATAATAAATGTGAGTATATTTGAAATAAAACTGGGGATGCCTAGGTGTTATGGAAATCAAAGACAAAATTCATGTAATAAAATCCATCAGACTTCAATATTCAGAAGGCGATTTTTAAAGTGATTTTTTAAAAAGTGTTTTAGGCCAGCACAGATGCACTGCACCACTTTAAAAAAATAAGATACAAATGGAAAGCTTCCTCCCAGGACTGGGAGGAGACAGGAGACAGCAAGAAGAAGGAATTTTTTTCCTTTTCTGGTTGAGAACCTGCCCAATTCAGCTGTGCAATACATGTTTTACTTGTTAACAGTAATGTTGTCTTTCCTTTTCTTCTCCTGTAGAAATAGACTGTGGAAAGCCACCAGAAGTTCAAAATACAGAAATAATCTGGGATAACACCACAACCTTTGGGAGCACAGTATACTATAAATGTAAAGATGGGTTTCAGCATCTTGGAGAACGTAACTTTTCACAGTGTACAGTGGCTCAAAAGTGGGAAAGCATCACTTTTGAATGCAAAGGTAAATAGATTATCTGCACCTTTACGTTAAAATCCTAGACAATATATCTGGAAATAATGGTATTTTACTGAATGTATGGGCCATTTCTCCCTTTAAGAGAAAAAACTAGTATTGCCTGAAATTTTCCAACTGTTTTTTCCTGTTTATTGGAAAAATAACAATTATCACTAATGAGGCAATCCAGAAAGTAGTTGTAATCAATCACACAGTGTGGTCACCTATAGGTCCTTTCATAAATATAGTGTTTCCTGACATGTCTTCTCACATTTGGTTTCCAAACTGGTCAGCACTCTGCTGCCCCCTCATTAGAACTGGAAAACAAAGGCAAACACAAAGTGGAAATTTGGTCCCGGTAGAATAAAGGGACATGCCCATCACTGCCCTAATTGGTCACACACCTATTGTTACCATTTTACATTGCAAGACCAAGATCCACATGTTTGAAAAAGGCTGAGAAATATGCGTTTCTCCATAAGTATGGGTCTCGCAATATTGGGTTTTTTTCGGGGGGGGTCAGCATGAAACCCTCCTATTCCTTCATGGACTTCCATGGAGTTTGTTCATGGAAGAGATAGTGGCATGTCTCATCTCCATGTGTTATTGGAGATTGTGGTAAAGCCTCTGTTTGATTCCTGCACAAACACTGATTAGAGGTTGAAGTCGGATTGGTTAAGATGTTAATGTAAGATGTTTTCCACCCATCCATTCCCGTGGCTGATTTGTCAGTTTGTTTTTGATCTTAGAAATCAAATAATGTAATGCAGGGAGCGTAAAGGCCTCTTGCATGTGGATTTCCACGTGTTGCGGGCTTTCTTCAAGTGATTCAGTGAAGGTGTCTTTAGGTACAGATTTGTGGGCTGGAACTCCCAGAATTTACCGTTCACACCTGACAAAGTATTTATATCTCTGTCTAATAGATATCAAGTATCTATTTTAAGGATGAGGTTATGAGAATTGACTTTTAGAATAGATGGACTACAGTTTCAACTTTAAGTTCCAGAGTCCAATCCTCCAGCCAGCCAGTATGGACACTATATATGCTCCTGGGGATTCTGGGGTTTGTAGTACCAGTATCTGGTATGAGGCCACTTCCGGTAGGTGCCACCAAAATAAAAGCATGAGACGGTATTGGCTGGTTATGTAATTATGTGACTTCTGGAATCCCCTACCTATTATGGTTATCAGCTCTGCTGGCTGTGGGGAAAGCTGGAACATACAGTTTAAAAAAGAAGAAGAATCTCTAGTGTTTGGAAACTTCACTTCCTTTCCCTGCTAACTGCTGCATCAGGAAATGCCCAGCAACATACCATTTGGAATCCTGTTTGAAACCACAAGGGAGCTACATGGCAGCCATCTGCTGCAGGTCCACAGTCAGCCCAGGTGGAATTTGAGGATCACCTGTGGGCCACAAGATGGAATGTGTACATGCTTAAAATGGAGACATGAGCCACTATCCAGCACCTTTAGTAAATGTTATTCTCAAATTAAATTATTTCTAATCTTTTTTAGAAATCACCTGTGGCCAACCTCCTATAATATCTCATTCGAAGAGAATATGGAATGGCTTGTCTCAGCTGGGAAGCGTTGTAGAATTCACATGTATAAAAGGTTTCTACCCAGCAGGCACAAAAAGACGATCATTCTGCACCAGAAGTGGAGCATGGGAATTCTTGGATTTAAGATGTGAAAGTAGGTGCATGGTGAATTCCTTAACATAGTTATCATGAGTGGCTTAAGACATGGTATTTTTGGATTTGCAGCATAATACTGAGAGTGTTTCTTGGAAGTAGACTGGGGACAGTATCTTCTATATGCCATGTTTCCCCGAAAATAAGCCCTACCCTCAAAATAAGCCCCAGTACGATTTTTCAGGATGCTCGTAATATAAGCCCTACCCCAAAAATAAGCCCTAGTTAAGTGAAACCTCGCCCTCCAACAGGGACTCACTGGGATCCTCCAAGCCCTCGAGAGAGAGACTTAAAACTTATTTTAATCCTCCTCTCATTCAGCTCCCTCTTTGAGGGCACCCCTCCCAATGAGGAAGAAGAGGCCTGCCAGTTTCCCCTTCTGGGCGAGCAGCTGTCAGCCATAGCTGTGTTGGCACATTGTGTCATGCCTGCTGGGTGACTGACCCACAGTGGGCGCCCTTTCTGCTTCTCTTCCTCGCCTCCATCCCCCACCCCGCTCTTTTCTGCTCTTTTCCTTCCCAGGTTGCTTCTTACCACCTGCTTGCCTCCTCCTCCTCTCCATCATCATCTTCTTCTTCTTTTTCGCATTCCCCTTAGCCAAGTGCCCTTCGGCATCATGTTGTAACAGACATACATAATGCACTCGTGTGGAGATTGTTGTACATGAAAAAAATAAAACATCTCCTGCAATTAAGCCCTAATGTGGGTTTTTGGGGGCAAAAATTAATATAAGACCCTGTCTTATTTTATCTTATTTTTTGGGGAAACATGGTAGGTATTGGATGGCTAAAGAACAGAAAGTTATATTTGTTTAAATCGCCATGGTGAGGAGGGCTCTCGCTTCCATGTGACAGCAATAAAAGGGATTATCTTCCAGGAACACCAACTGATAATCATGGTAGGGAATTTTGAACAATTCCATTATGAACAAATGGAAAATTACTTAGCACATCTTCTTGAGGAAGGCACCTGTCTCTGTTATACCGAAAATCTAGTGGTGATTGCAGAGAGCATCTTTTTGTAATTGCTCCTCCATTAGTAATTTTTTAGGTAGAAGTCAAGGTGGATTGGATTTACTGTGTACTTTGGATTACCTGTGCCCAACAGAGAGAATTGTCTGTACTCACAAAATTAGGTAAACATTTACCAATTTACACATATACATATGTATATTGACTTCTGAGGGCATCAGATGATGAGGGCGGAGTTTTCGGGCACCATCTGAAAACAGCTAAAACTTAAAGTCTTTCTCTCTCTAGCTCTCCTCTGGAACTGCTAAGATCATCAAGCATCATGCTTAAATCCAGATTCCATGACCTGTTGAATTTTGCATTAATACAAGAGTCTGTTTTTTTAAAGCTGGAAACTGCTTGCTGACTTTTTCCCCCCTCCCAAACTACTTTCCCTATTTGGGTAAATGAGAAATAATTCAGGTGCAGCAAGACAGACTTACACCAGGTCTGATCATCCGGTTCTTGTTATAGAGATGCAGGAGCTCTCTGGGTTTTCAGACCAGATCCTGTTGCCCTTCCACCTAGAGTTGCTAAGGACTGAACTGAGCCATAGCCTCTATTTTAAATTTGCAGTCCCACGGTATGTTTGTTTACTCAGAAGTAGGTCCCAGTGGTCAACTAAATATAAGTTTGGATTCTTCGCTTTGCAGTTGCAGATATACTGAGAAAAGATTATTCCCGCCAAGTGAAGATAATAACTACAAACAATCAAAAGCAGAGGTCATGTTGGCCTGAGGTTTTGTAAATTAATTCTTTTAAATACTAGACAGTTAATCACCTGGTAATCTTGTAACATTTTCAGTTGCAAGAAAAAAGAGAGAAAAGCACAGGTAGGCTCCTCTCTGGAGAGAGATACTTGCTCTGTAGATCAAAGAGATTTGGCTCCACAACAAGACAATCTGTTTTTACTCAGCTTACTTTTCTTTAGCAACTGTTGTGTACTGATAATTATGCAAGATTTCTCACCCAAAGCATCAAAATCACACAGAGGAGCACTTCCCCACCTGTTCACAGGGGAGGGAAATATGTAATATTTTTACTATATGAAATCGCTTTATATGCATATCCTGCACAGCCCCCTCCACTTTTTTTAAATTCCAGCAAATCCCTTTGACTGCACTTTAAGAATTTTCCCCAAGTAGTTCTAATGTTTCCATGGAAGCAGTAATACTAATTGATGCCAGTCCTTACATTTATACTGCCTCAGTGGCAGTACATATATTTGCTAACATTCAACCCTCTATGTAATAAATACAGATATAGAACCTGGTGTCTGTATTGAATTAGAAGGCCCTAGTAATTTCTGTCATTAAACCTGGAGAGTTATCACAGTAAATGCAGAGTGAAATAGGGCGCACGTAAATTGTGATCCTGCAAACCAAATAGAATGAACCATCTCTGGCCCACCAGACTCTTGATAAGCCTCTAGTTTGTGCTTCCTATTGCAACAGGAATTGGAACTAGAATTGTTGTCAAGTAGACCTGCCTGTGACCTTTGGAAGGTCATCTGAATGAAGCCACTGTGATTCTCTGCATCAATTCATAGATTTCCTGTAATGTTTCTGTTACATGGATATTACCTGTTTTAATGTCAGCAGCTCTGGAAAAGAACCAGCATTATGAAAAGTACCCAGTTATGTGATCAAGGCTAGGCATCTGATGATTGTGCATCTCTGTTGGATTGTGGAAGACACCACATTCCAACAACGCATGCCAATTAGATATAATGTAGGGTTTTACTATTTTAAGATATTTTATTTTTTCAAAAACTGTCTGAAATTGGCTTTTTTTACACAAGGAGAAGGCAAATGGCATAATATTAAGTTGCTTCTAGCTGGTAATTAACAAGCTGCTGCTGGGATTCTTAGGGATGTACCTGCTTGCTGAACTGGTGTGCACCTAAGTATCCCAGCAGAAACCCATTACTTGCCAGCTAGAAGCAACTGATTGTTATGCTGTTTGCCTTCTGCATGAGTAAAAAGCAGCAGGATTTTAGCCATTGTCTTAAGGAGTCCTTAGCTATACTTATAGTATGAGCTTTCATTAGGTGGTCATGGCAGGAGTGGTGACAAAATTGTGATTGGATCCTAGTTTTTATTTCCCAGTAGCTCAGGATAACACATTTAAAGGCACCTGTTAATTTCCACAGTGGTAGGAAGTGTAAAAACTGAATGAAAAAGGCCAGTCAGCTAGAAGTTCCCAGTGGTGGGTGAAATTTTTGACTGATTCTTCTTTACACTCATACATCATTTCTGAGATGCTGTAGTATAGTTTAAAACATGCAGCATTTGTACAAGCCATCTGATTTTATGACTCGTCTAGACTATAACAATGTCTTCGTTCTTTATAAATTTTACAATGTTCTATGCAAGTAGATGACAGTCTACAAGTGAATAAATAAAGAAAATACATAGGGTTTTTTCATGATTGCTTCTGAAGTATTCTTTTATGTGTTAATTTTTGAACCAAAAAGACAATGCAATCTGTAGTTTGCTGGCATTTTTATTCTCCATGTGCTTTTGATTGGACAAATGTTTGGAAATTCATGGAACTGGTACCACAGCCTTCACATGGAGCTTTGCATATGCACAGGAACAACCATGGCGGTCAGGAAGCTGGATTTTAGCCTATGCTAGTTTGGCAATTTCGTATCAAATTAATAATGTGAGGTGGCTGGCTCCACAGAAGCAGTACCTACTGGCAGGAAGTAGAATTCCAGAAGCATATGCAGAGTTCTAGCTTCCCAACTGTCCACATTTCTAAGGATGGTACTAAAAGCCTTTATTTCACTGGATCCTGGCAAAATTCAGTTTATGGCCATACTAAATTCATTGCTCTAAAACTGTGTCAATTGTAGCTATGGAAATCCACAATAATCACCTGGCTGCAAGAGCAGGTCCAATTCTTCCCGTTGGTGTAGCCAGCTTTAGAGTTACGTTTTGTGACTTTTCAGTCTGCACTTGGTGAATGTTGACTTTTCTATTCATGTATATTTCTTTCTCCCACTTGCACCCAGAATATGAACAGTTTTTCTGCTGGTTTAGTGAAGTGTCCCTGATGGCGTGGTGGCGCTGCAGGTTAAACTGCAGAAGCCTCTGTGCTGTAAGATCTGTAGATCTGCAGCTGTAAGTTCGAATCCATGCGACGGAATGAGCGCCCGTCGCTTGTCCCAGCTCCCGCCAACCTAGCGGTTTGAAAGCATGCAAATGCGAGTACATAAATAGAGACCACCTTGGTGGGAAGGTAACAGTGTTCCGTGTCTAAGTCGCACTGGCCATGTGACCACGGAAGATTGTCTTCAGACAAACGCTGGCTCTATGGCTTGGAAACGAGAAGAGCACCCTAGAGTCGAACACGACTGGACAAAAATTGTCAAGGGGAACCTTTTCCTTTACCTTTACCTGATGGCTTTGTGAACCACTGTAAGGATCAGCGTAGGTTTATTTTTTAAATAGTGCACTTTCTTCGATTGTTCCATGAAGAGGTAGCAGTGTGGGCTTATTAGTAGTGAGGCTTTGGATACAACTTTTGTAGGAGCCCCAGTTACCTTCCCACCAGCAAATGTGTACACTTCATGGTTTCACAGAACTGCTTGTTGGATACTGGAATTACTGTCATTAGCAAGCAGAACCAAAGGGCATTCGTAGGGCCAGTTTGTTAGATTCATTAGGCATTTGTTTAGACATGATGTAAAGAGTAGGTAAATTGATGATTGGAGATGTTACTTTAAACATTGCCATAGAAACATAGGTAAAGGTTCCCCTTGACAATTTTTGTCCAGTCGTGTCCGACTCTAGGGGGTGGTGCTCATCCCCGTTTCCAAGCCATAGAGCCAGCGTTTGTCCGAAGACAATCTTCCGTGGTCACATGGCCAGTGCGCCTTAGACAGGGAACACTGTTACCTTCCCACCGAGGTGGTCCCTATTGATCTACTTGCATTTGCATGCTTTCGAACCGCTAAGTTGGCGGGAGCTGGGACAAGCGACAGGCGCTCACTCCGTCGCGTGGATTTGATCTTACGACTGCTTGGTCTTCTGACCCTGCAGCACAGGCCTCTGCGGTTTAGCCCGCAGCGCCACCATAGAAACATAACCAATTGATTATTGTTGTCTTCTGGCTATTGTCCAGTGAAGACACCAGAGGGGCATATTTCCTACCTAGAATGGCGTGTCTGAAGGGAAGCATCCTTGGACGAGGGCTAATCATGCTGAGCACAATTGTCCCCAAGTGTTGTTTTCCACAGTAGCATGACCATGTAATTAGCTTTCTTTCTTGAGTTCTTTCAGCAGTTAAGATTTGCAGGGGAAAGAGTGGCCTTGGGATCTGGAATGTCACTGTCTGTAATAGAAAAGAAACAGAAACACTTGGAAAGTACAGCAAAGAAATAAAATTGGTTGAGTATTCCCAAGACGAATTTATTGAAAGCCCTAACTTTGCTTGTTCTCAGCAAGATACTTTGGTGTTTTAGAAGAAGAAATGCTAGTGATACTTTACATGCTTTTGCGGTTGGACACATAGCCAGATACACGAGAGCACCTTGTCAATGAGCCACAATTAGCTGTGGTAAACCATGCAACCTTTTATGAATACCAGTAGGGTTCTGGCCACTAACTAATACCTG